GTCTCAAAGAGAACAAAAGACAACTCTTAACCATGCCTGAAGACCCTTCTGAGGAATTCACAGAAATTCTAGTGTTTAGGCTCTGAACAGCTGAATGGGTTCCTGTTCCTTTGATGTGGTGGGAGAAAGGCAAGTTACAAATTACACTAACAGGCAAGTGAAACCCATCCCAGATATACTAGTGTGGTGTTTATTTTAAGACTGCATATCTTTTTGCATACCATGCAGAATACTTCAGAAAGATCTTTAGCGGGTGTGTTTTCTATCTGATTTGAAACAGCTGATTTCTCTTTCAGGTATAGAAGCCAAGAAAAATGTGGTGGTAACTCAAGCTGACCAAATAGGCCCTCTTCCCAGCACTCTGATAAAAAGTGTGGACTGGCTGCTTGTATTTTCCTTATTCTTTTTGATTAGTTTTATTATGTATGCTACCATTCGAACCGAGAGCATTCGGTGGCTAATTCCAGGACAAGAGCAGGAACATGCGGAATAGTGATGGACTGAAAGGAGAAGTCGGAACGAGGAATTTCAGAAATTAATGCTGCACTTTCTTACATTTTCTCCAGTGAAGTGTAGACTTACAGCTTCAGTTAGATTAAAAGAATCATGCATTTGTTGAGTTGTTGAATGTGTTAAAAAATTATAAATTGGTGTTTTAATTAGTACCGCAAAAAGCAAATGCAAAAATATTCAATAGAACTCACCATTCTTGTTTTTACTAATCCAGTATTTTAAGGGAGTGATCCAGTTTCAAATGGGAGCGTGGTTCTGGTGGAATAGTGGATTGAGTGACAGTTGGCCTCACAGAAGGAAGAAGAAGTAGGACTTTTCACATTATGGTTTAGAAAAGTTTTGATTCCTCATATATGTTTAAGAAGGTTGGTTTCTTTTCATTTGCAGTTTTTCTCTCAGAGCCTGTAAGTAGGAAGGTGTTCTGTTGTGGAAGCAGGACTAGAATTGACAAGTGTGACCTTCTGAGTAACTGATGGGAAAATAAAAGAGTCAAGTACTTTGGTGTTTGTGATCTTTAATTTCACCGGAGGAATTTGAAGTGGTTTAAGTCATTTCTGGATAGGGCAGATGTTAGGAGAAATTAAATATTATCATCAAACTAGAGCTTATTGATTATCAGTTCTAGGCTAAAGCATAACTCAAATTTTAGTCACCGTTACCTAACCAGCATGCACTGATTCAACCTTAAAATGTTCTAAGCACTGTGCTAGTTTCACTGAGAGCCAAAAGAAATATGTAACACTGTTCTTGCCCACAAATTGATTCTAGTCTAGTTTAGGACACAGGTAGAGAAGAGACAACATGTAATTTATACCAACTTTTTTTTTTAAGATTTTATTTATTTATTTGACAGAGACACAGCGAGAGAGGGAACACAGCAAGGGGAATGGGAGAGGGAGAAGCAGGCTCCCCGCTGAGCAGGGAGCCCGATGCGGGGCTCGATCCCAGGACCCTGGGACCATGACCTGAGCTGAAGGCAGACGCTTAACGACTGAGCCACCCAGGCGCCCCTTTATACCAACTTTTTAAAAAGCTGTTTCTAAAAGATCCCTTAAACTCAGGTATAAGACATCTGACCACATAATGAGAAGTAACCTTTATATATAAAGTGAGTGTTTCCAGTATTTCAGATAGAGTAGTTCATTTCATAACGCACCTTAAATTCTATGGAAATAAAACCTTAGTTGAGTCACCCTCTCAGAATGTTATGTTGGGCAGGAGTTTACCACTTTATGTTGTGGGTAAGTCTGGCTGGGGTGGTCACTGACAGGAAGGGATGGTGGTTCAGAACGGGACTATTACTATTTTCACTTTACAAATGAGCAAACAGGCATGGAGAGAGCTTAAGTAACTTGCCCAGGTTACACACAGAGTACATTGATGAAGCTGGGATTTGAACCTTTACATATATGTGTTTGTGTACTTAAAAATAGAAGAAAAACTTACAGTGATTCCATCTTTTATAACAATAACACTTGAGTATAATTGTGTGTGTTCCAGGTACTATTTTAAGTTCTTTACCTACCATTTTATTTATTGGTACAGTAGCTCTGAGATTGACACTAGTATTAAATATCCCTGTTTTACAGAAGGGTAATAAATGAGGCCCCAAATAACTTGCTCAGGGTCATGCAGTTTCCAGTCGTGGGACCCAGGTTCCATCCTAAGCATGCTGATTGGAGGAGCCTCTGTGCCATGAGGTGAGAGACTGTCATAATGCATTTCCCTCTTGTCTTTCCCCTTTCTTTCCCATAGTTAGAGTCATAACATAGGTATCATTTAGCACCTTAGTTTTTGTTTTGTTTTGCTTAACAAATGATAAATATTTCACTTTTGCCGACAGATTTCCTAACCATGACTACATAATAGGTCTTCGAGTAGGTTCAGCATTACTTAACTTTTTTTTTTTTTTAATTTATGGTTGTATATAGTTTCATTTCCTGGGGGACACACTCCCAGATGAGAAGTTATCTTATCAAAGATACAGGCATTTTCATGCCTTTGATATGTCATGGGGCCCTACTCTAGTGTGGAGGATGAGGAAAGGCTTCTAGGATGGCCAACAGATCCATGGCTTTGCTTTTAATACTTAGCTGAGACAAGCTACCTGGGGTTCCCTTGGAGGGAAAGTGGAGCAGGGTGGTTCCCTAGAGGGGAGGTTCAAGTGTAGAGAGGATCAGTTGGAAAGCACTGGTGCTGAGGGAACGGGAAGTAGGAGGCAGGAAGGAAGGTCCAAGAGCAGCTAAACCACCCCAAGCCAAGCATGGTGTCTGTGCTGCAGAACCAGTGTCTATGCATTGGTACCAATGCCAGGGATGGGGAGGGCGGGGATTTAGCTGCATGGAAGATAGCAAAGATCATCAGAGTGCCAGTCATCAGGGACAGAAGTCCAAACACTTCTGCCCACTCCTGCTTAGTATCAGTTGCCAAGGAAAACGAGTGTGCATTGGTCCCCCATGGCTAGTGGATCCTCCCCAGCAGCCAATGGCCAGAGGCCCCTCTAGTGTCTTAGCACAAGTCCCGTTCCCTGCCGTGGAGTCCGTAATACTGAAAGCGGGGGAGCATGCCCCAGGGCTATTTGACTTACATGCTTGAGCAGAATACAGGAGTACATATTGAGTCTGGATCAGGGAAGGATATTCCCACACAAGGTATAAGCCTGGAACAGGCTGTATGGGCTCTTTATAACGACGGTAAGAGGTGTTTTAGGCCTAAGGCCCATTCTTACATGGGTGAGCAGGGCTTAAAAGACTGAGCAGGAGCCTGCCTTTCCCAAGAGTGTCCAACATAGACGACTTGCTCAATAAATCTTTGCTAAGGAACTTAAATCCTATTAACTGGAGACCTACATGTGAAGGCAGAGTATCCGCAGCCCCTACTGGTGAACATTGCTTCCCCTGGGCCCTACTAACATGCTACTGCTGCTGCTTTTCCTAACTACAGCTGGGATGCCTGTTTCCTGCAGTGGATTTCGGGAAGGAAGACGAGGAGTCTCTTGTTACACTGACCATTTTTGCAGTTCTCACTTTAATAAGCAAGTTTGCAGAGTATTCTTCATGATTGTATACACCTGATTAAGTACTGGAAATGAAACTTTTATTTTATTATAATTTATTTGACAGAGAGAGACACAGCGAGAGAGGGAACACAAGCAGGGGGAGTGGGAGAGGGAGAGGCAGGCTTCCCGCAGAGCGGGGAGCCCGATGCGGGGCTCTATCCCAGGACCCTGGGATCATGACCTGAGCTGAAGGTAGACACTTAACGCCTGAGCCACCCAGGCGCCCCTGGAAATGAAACTTAATTCCATCTCCAGTCTCTGCCCACTTGAGGCATCATGCAAAGGAAACAAGAATGTCTTGGATGCCTTGAGATCAGTGACATTTGATCAGGGTCTGCAGCGAGATTCCTCCCTTGAGGTTTGGTCAAGTGGGCAAACGCTCAGAATGCATATTGAGCCATGTATGAATTTTAGCATATCTTAAGGCAAAAACTTTTTTTCCCCAACTCCATATGGGAAATGAAATTAACTGCTAGCAACAGCTAATTTGAACTTAAATGGACTCTCATATTAAAAAATTTTTTTCGGGTATATGGATAAATCCTATGAAAAATTGGTTATATTAATTTGCTTAAACTAGTAAAAAGTACAAGTGGATATACTAAAAACCAGTAAATTGTACTTTAAAGGGTGAATTTTTCGGTATGTGACATTACATCTCAAAAAAAGGCAAGAAAAAAGAGGAAGAATAAAATATTAGTAAATGCATACCTAAAAGACTACCCCTCTTCTCCAGAAAAAAATTTCCTGTGTATCTGCCTACATTCATCTCTGGAGCGCGCACCGTGCGCTACTCTTCAGAGAGCATGAAGAGCTGGGTTTCCAGACTGTCTTATCTGGGCCAACACAGATGAACCAGCGTGCCCAAGGCCTCAGCAGCTAGGCGGGCCCAGCACAGCTTCCTGCCTTACAAGGCCCGGTCCGAACCCCTATGGTTCTCTTGGGGATGGGAGTGGTCCCCAAGCACCCACCTGGAGCCCATCTCCTCCCGTCCCCGCCCGCGAAGTCCTCCCGCCGGCTCGGGCTCTGGGCCCCTTCGCCCAGGAGGGAGCCCGGCACCGACTGTCCGCGAGTGTGCGGCTAGCCGGGGCCCGGACACCGAAGAGCCGAACCGGGGGTCACCCCTGAGCGCGCTTCCCGACCGGGCCCACCTCCAGGCAGTGGAGGTTGGCACGATGCGGCGGGCGCGGAGCCGGAGCTGCGAGCGCGGGGGCCTGCGGGGGCCTGCGGGGCGCCCGCCCGCCTGCTGCCAGCGCGGTCGGCGGCCCTGAAACTCCTGGGACCTTCCGGGGCGGGCCGCGCGGGCGCCTGCAGGACCGCTTGGCCGGCGACTGGGGGCCGCCCGCGCCGCTCCCGGCTCCCGGCGGGCCCGGTGGACGCCTGCGGGCGGCGGGCAGGCAGCGCGCCGGGCAGCCCTGGGCCGGCGGCCATGGCGGCGGCGCTAGGGGCGCGGGGGGCCCCGCGGCTCCTGTTGGCGACGTTGCGGGGCCGGGGCCCGAGCTTCTCGGCGACGGTGAGTGCCGGGGCCCGCGGTGCGGGAGGAGGGCGAGGCCCCGCGGCGCCGGCTGGGGGCGTTAGGGGGAAAGGACCCGGTCCGGTCCCGAAGCGGGCCCGGCCTCCGGCCTCGGACCTTGGGGAGCCGCGTTCGGGCGCCGGGCACCTGCCCGACGCCTGGCGGGAGACAAGGGGTCCGCAGCACCATCGTTTCTTCCTGGCTTACACATCCCGCCGTTGTCTACGAGACTGCCCGCCGGAAAAAAAAACCGAGGACGAGTTTTGTCTAAAGAAAGCACGAAAAGTAGCTGTAAAGCTCTCTGATGCTAAGGGTCGCTTGAAGTGATTAAAGGCGCTCTGCCGCTAGACTGTGCGCTCGCCGAGGGCAGGGACCGGCTCCCGCACGGCGCGCTCGCCGGAAACCCGCTGGCTCAGCGCTGAGTTAACGCACTTGTTTTCCTGTGATGTTTTTGGAGGAATTATTAATAAATTCTTTTTGGGGGGTGACAAGTCTATACTTCTTCCCTCTTCCGCGGGGCGTTCCGTCAGTTTTCTGGCATTAGAAATTAATATAGTGGGATAAATTAACTTGAGGGTAAGTTTTAACACGCAGCACCACCTAGTGGGGGAAGGTTGCATTAAACTTCCTATTTCATTTTAAGTTGCTTGTTTGGAAGTTTGAAAGTCTAATAGGATACATTTAAAATAGATTGGTGATGGAGGAAGGTGAGCACGTGGCCATTAAGGTGAGAACACGAGTTGAGTGCGTACTGTCACCTAAGCGTGTCGCTAGGCGTACCTTCCGTACCTGTACCCAGGTACCTGTACCCAAGGTGCTGATGATTAAGTAAAATTACGGGGTTCAGAGGAATGAATAAACAGACATGATTTGAGTGGCTGCCAGGTGCCAGGCTCTATGCCGGTGCCTTCACATTCAAGATCTCTTTAACTGAACTCTTTCAAAAAAATCTCAGGGCGCCTGGATGGCTCAGTCAGTTAAGTGTCTGCCTTCCGCTCAGGTGATGATCCCAGGGTCCTTGGATTGGGTCTGACTTTGGGCTCCCTGCTCAGCAGGGAGTCTGCTTCTTTCTCTCCGAGCTCTCCCACTCCCCCTGCTTCTGCTCTCTTTCTCTCTCTCAAATAAATAAAATCTTAAAAAAAAAAGTCTCGACAGGTAGTTGTGGTGATACCCCCACCATAGACATGAGGATACTGGTATTGAAAGAAGTTAAGTGATTTGTTCAGCATCTCCACAGCTGAAAGTAACCAAGTGAGGCCTTAGATCAAGTTTGTTCTCTCCAAATCCTATGCTTTTCCCTGTCCCCATCTCCCGGAGAAAAAAAATTAAGCCCATTATAAAGGGTTCTGCAGAAGGTGTGTCTCCAAGGGGACCATTTGTGTTAGGTAAGTGAAGTGGTTCCATTTCACAGTCCTGGACACGGTCCCTGTTCTTGGGCAGACACCTGTGGTGAGCACACCGTTGCCCTCACTGGGGATGTGCATGGCGGAGAATATGGAGGAAAACAGCTCAGCGGGCGTGTTCCACTCACTCCAGGTGACTGCTGCATTGCCCACAGCATGGCTAAGAGTTTTCTTGGCAGCTACTCAGAGTGGACACAGATAATTTAATTTCTTTTCCATACTTTTCTGAGTTGACTTAGCGTATTTAAGTGGCTAATAAGAATTTTAGATAATTTCTTATAGTGGGTCACTGTAAAAGTAATGAATAGATGTTTTGAGTCTTAATAGTTTAAGTGGTTTTGATAACAGGTCTTCAAATGTTTTTATTTAAGAGGTTTTTGTTTTTGTTTTTTTTTCATTTTTTTCTTGTGTTAGTTGGGAAGGGTGGCTGACCTAGCAAGGAAGAGAAACAAGAAAACTGGTTCATAAGCAACCTTTTTTCCTCTTAGAATAAGTTGTTTTTTTGTTGCTTTTTTTTTTTTAAAGATTTTATTTATTTGAGAGAGAGAATGAGAGAGAGCACATCAGAGGCGGTAGGGTCAGAGGGAGAAGCAGACTCCCTGCTGAGCAGGGAGCCTGATGCAGGACTCTATCCTGGGACTCCAGGATCATGACCTGAGCCGAAGGCAGTCGCTTAACCAACTGAGCCACCCAGGCGCCCTGTTGCTTTTTTTTTTTTTAAGATTTTATTTATTTAGGGACACCTGGGTGGCTCAGTCGGTTAAGCAGCCGCCCTCAGCTCAGGTCATGATCCCAGGGTCCTGGGATCCAGTCCCACATCGGGCTCCCTGTTCAGCGGGAAACCTGCTTCTCCCTCTGCCTGCCGCTCCCCCTGCTTGTGTGCTCTCTCTCTCTGACAAAGAAATAAAATCTTAAAAAAAAAAAGATTTTAGGGTCCCTGGGTGGCTCAGTTGGTTAAGCGACTGCTTTCGGCTCAGGTCATGATCCTGGAGTCCCGGGATTGAGTCCTGCATCGGGCTCCCTGCTCGGCAGGGAGTCTGCTTCTCCCTCTGAACCTCTTCCCTCTCGTGCTTTCTATCTCTCATTCTCTCTCTCTCTCAAATAAATAAATAAAATCTTTAAAAAAAATAATAAAGATTTTATTTATTTATTTATTAGAGAGTGTGCATGCACCAGCGGGGGTGCGGGGTGCGGGGGGAGAGGCAGATGGAGAGGGAGAAGCAGACTTCCCACTGAGCAGGGAGCCTGACGTGGGGCTCGATCCCAGGACCCTGAGATCAAGACCTGAGCCGAAGGCAGATGCTTAACCCACTGAGCCAGCCAGGCACCCCAGAATAAATTGTCTTAAAATAATTTTACTTACTCTGTCCTCTTACTTACATCAATGTCAGTGATAAAGGGTTTCAGGATTTCTGAAGTGGGAATGAGTTGTGGTTTCATGGTGGAAGATCCAGCTCAGCTCCCAGTTGCCATTTGATGAGGAGCCCTTATAATATGTTTTGACTTTCTGGGTGACAGTCCCTCTCTCACCTGAGCCTTCAGTAGCCCTGCAGATAGGTAAGGTCGGAGGTATTGGTTGGCATTTATGCTGGAATGAGAGCTAAGCTCTTCTGACTTCCACCAGAGTTTCCTCTCCTTTCTCTGGCCATGATGTTTAGAGTTTTTTCAATTAAAAAACAAATAGAATAGAAGTGTGGGCCTGCTAGCCAACAGAACTCCGGGTTTGTGAGTTTCATCACCAGGGTGAGTGTGGGAACAAGGTGGACAGTGCTCTGGCCAGACTGGGGGGATTTGTCTTACTGGTGGCCTGGAAAAACTCACTCTACTAAGGCAGGGGGATCTGTGGATCCCCCAGAAGTTACTATTCCAAATCCTGTGTTAAGTGTGCATTTGTGTTTTTCCCCTCTGGAGGTTAGTTTTCATCAGATCTCAAAGGGGATAGTGCACCCGGAGAGTTAAGAGCCTTGTGAGTAGGCAGTGAAAAATACCAAGGTGTGTGGGACCCTCCAAAGAGCAGTGGACCAGGAGTATAGAGCCCTGAGTTCTAATTTGGGACCTGACAGCGGACTTGTAGGGTGTGCGTGGGTGTGCTTACCAAGTTTCCCACATCGGGGAATGCTGGCCATTGGCAATACGGTCATTGGTAAGATGACCAGCGGTAATGGTTGATGGTTGTATCTGTGATCAACCAGAGACACAGGATTGTGAAGTGTGAGGCAACAGTAAGGTGTGTGAGACACCTTAGCATGGAGGCAGCTTCTTTTGTATGGAGCTAGCCTTATTTTTGTCTATTTTTTGAGAACAGGGGAACCCAAAATGGTCACAGATTGTTGCCCGTAAGGTATTTTTCTGCATCTGTCCATAAGGTAAGGGGCTATGCATTTGAGTTTAACTGAACGTGTACCTTTCAGATATTACGTGTGTTCTTTCCATAGGCAGCAGATGCTCGCCATTTGACAGCAGAGGAGAGGAACCAAGTTATCCTTGACCTGAAAGCAGCAGGATGGTCGGAATTACATGAGAGAGACGCCATCTACAAAGAATTTTCCTTCAGAAATTTTAATCAGGTAATTATGACATATTCTTGCTAGTGCCATGGTCTGTCTGTGTCATCTTAAGCTGCAGCTCTTTAATCCTGCTGGTTGTCTGGTCCCATGTGGACCCTTAAGAAGTCAGTGACTGCTGCTCTGTCCTTGCTGACAGGTGCTCCCATCCAGCTGGGTGAGTCTCAGCTGTAGGGGAAGGGAGTGGTTTTTGTCATTTGGAAAATCAGATTCTGAACCCCCTGGTTTGGTGTGGGTTAGGATATTTAGTTTCCTTTCAAATTTTATTTTATTTTTTAGTTTTTTATTTTAATTTTATTTTTTTTAAAGATTTTATTTATTTGTTTGGCAGAGAGATAGAGAGAACACAAGTAGGCAGAGAGGCAACCAGAGGGAGAGGGAGAAGCAGGCTCCCCGCCAAGCAGGGAGCCTGATGCGGGGCTCGATCCCAGGACTCTGGGATTAAGACCTGAGCCAAAGGCAGCCGCTTAACTGGCCAAGCCACCGAGGCGCCCCTCCTTTAAAATTTTAAATAACATTAAAAGGGTGTATGAGTTTTTTATGTGTATCAGAAGAGGGCCTGAGTAAAAGCAGTTGAGAAACATACACCTGCTCAACTGATTTCCCCTACTTTTCTTGGACGCTTGTCAAGTTTTCTTTCTCCCCGTACATGTATTTCAGTCTTTAAATCAAGCCCCAAGCTTCAGCCTCTTCTCTGATTAGCTTGTTTTCCCCCAGCCCAAGAGCCTGCTCTTGTAGCTTTTCTTAAAAGTCCCCCCGTCGTCCCCCCGCGCCCCCCCGCCCCGCCTTGGAGACTCAGCCTTAACAAGGTAACTGTTCCATTAGGGCCCCGCCCTGTTTAGAGAGTCATCTCCCATGACTTACCCTTCAGCTCTTACCCCACTGCATTTATATAAGGTCGGTGCTTTTGACTATTTCATGTTTGTTCAGTGAGTTTGGTAATCCTCTGGACAGATTTATTGTTTTTATTTATATTAGGTGTCAGCATCTAGAAGGCAGAGACCATGTTTGCTTAAATAACTCTCTATTGTACCTAACACAGTTCTGGGTACAAACAGGCATTTGATAAATGCAGACATTGATTACAGTGTTTGCTAGTTTCTGGAAAGGTGTGTGAGGACCAGATTTCCACCAAACAAACCTTCGACATGTTTTCCTAGTAAATGCCATTGGCTCCACTGAGCTGCATGCCCTATTCTGCTCTCCATCCATCTGGCTGCCAGCCTTCTGCTTTGAGTCTCCAGCTCCTGAGGAGACCTAGACCAAGCCGACTCCCTGTCCCTGCTGCCCCATGTGTTCGACAGCTCTTGTCAGGGGCTTAGCACTCCGTGGCTGGTGGCCCGGAATCCCATTGGTACAGTAAGCTTGTGCATAAGCTCTAGGTAGCATTTTCCAGGCTTATTAAAATTCTTACATGTGTACAGCCTGACTTCTTTAAGCCTGGGCTAATTTATTGGGCTTGAACATGTGGCTTAAAGTACTTGAGTAGTGTTGCCTCAGGCTCTGCCCAAGAGTCAGTCATCCAGCCCACGCTAACCCTGTGCTTGGGGTGACTTTCAGAAATGGGAGGGAAGGGAAGCTGTGCAGGGCATCCGTGATTAATTGTAATGTTATTCATTGGGACATTTTATTAATTTGGCTTTTTTTTTTTCCTTCACTCAGCTTTTAGGAGAAAGAGGCAGATGACAAAATCAGCCAATGTCAGGGAATGTATTCAGAGAAGCAGCCCTGAGATTATATCCTGGGGTCAGTTTTCCAGCTGGGTCTCTTAGGACTTCTCCGTGTACAGTGGCCAGTAATTGGATCTGATGTGACACCTGTCAGTGTCCACCCACCCAACATCACCAGGAACACACCTGGGTTTAGTGGAGCAGGTTGGGGCTGAATCGCTTGTTGCAGCGAGGGAGCCTGCACATCACAGGGAACTGTGGGGCGTCTCAGGGAGAAGGTGTTGGAGAGATGGTTTGGTCTAGATTGGATGCTGTCAGAAAATGGGCAGGTCTGTGATTCAGTATTTTCATCAATCTTACCAGTAGGGAGGGTAGACTAAAGTGGGGCCAAAGCTGAAATTGGCCAAGAAGCAACACTCGCTCATTAGCTGGGAGAGGGGATTGTTCGGTACTTTGTGGTGTGGACAGTGTTCATGTTTTGTCTGTGTTCACATAACCTTGCAGCTTGGTCTTGTTTTTGTTTGAATCCATCCTACTCACGGAGTGGACTTGTCTGCTGTTGATGTTCGTGTGTAACCCTAGGGCCTCGGTGTGCATGCCAGGCCAGCTCCTGGCTGTCAGAGTTACCTTTCTCTTTTTCACAACCAGTGTTTAGAGTCGTGACCCTCTCGCACTGATAGATCCTCACTAACCTTTTATTTAGGACAGAAGAGATCCTGGTTTTTATTATAAAACAATAACAGGAAATGCTAGAATGGGATGTTGTAAATTAAGAAAAATTCTCATTGCAACTTCTTTCGTTTAGCATTTATTCTTTTCTAGTCTTTCTCCACAGAGTTTATTCATAATGTAGCAGTTCATGCAGTTACACTTTTAAAAATCAGCTTGACTTTTATTGTAAAAGTAGTATTTATTTATTTATTTAATTTTAAATATTTTACTTATTTATTTGAGAGAGAATGAGAGAGCATGAGAGGGGGGAGGGTCCGAGGGAGAAGCAGACTCCCCGCTGAGCAGGGAGCCCGATGTGGGACTCGATCCCGGGACTCCAGGATCATGACCTGAGCCGAAGGCAGTCGCTTAACCAACTGAGCCACCCAGGCGCCCAAAAGTAGTATTTATTAACTCAACAAGTATTTATTAAGCATCTTCACTGTGCTGGGCACAGTTCTAAGCTCAGGTAGCTCCGTTCTAGTGGAGAAGACAGACAAGAAGCAAATGAGTAAATAGTGTAACTTCAGGTAGAGATAAGTGCGACGGAGAAAAGTAGGATATTGGAATGGAGGCTGTTTAAGATGGGGTGGTCTCGCAGGCCCTCCTTAGGGAGGGGACATCCAAGGCCTGACTCATGCGAAGGAGCTCAGCATGTGAAGACCCAAAGGAAGAGCATTCCTGAAGGAGAGAAAAGCAGGTACAGAATTCCTGAAGCAGGAATGATCTTGGTATGACTGAGGAAGAGCCAGAAGGCCAGTGTCTGGAGTGAGCAGGAAGGAGAGACTGATAGGAGATGGGGCTGAGGAGAGGGAGAGCCCAGAGCCCTGGAGCCTTGTCCATCTGGTGAGGAGTTTAGATTTTATTCTGGGTACAGAGCTGTGGGGCTTTCAAGAACAGACGTGCCATGATTTGGTTATGTTCTAGAAAGACTGTCCTGGCTGATGTGCTGTGACTAGACAGTAGGAGGGCCAGAGCGGAACCAGGCCCACTAGCTAGCATGTCGTTGTGGCAGGCTAGGTAAGAGGTGATGGGGGATTATGGAGCTAGCAGTGGAGTGGAGAGAAATGTGGTATTCCTCATACATTTCGAAGAGAGAGCAAACAAGGCTTGCTGTTAGATTGGATATGGGGGAAGCGGAGAGTCAAGGATGATCCCAAGGTTTTGGTCTGAGCTAGAGGGTGAAGGGCGGTACTGTTGGTGTCATTTCCTGAGTTAAGGAAGATGGGGCAGGGTGGGGAGTTGAGAATCCTGTTTCGGACGTGGCGGGTCCGAGACACTTGTTAGTCACGCAGGTGATGTTATCAGGTCAGCACTTGGGTATGTGAGGTCGGAGCTCAGGCTGGAGATACTGGGTTGAGGATTGTCAGGGGGATAATTGTGAGAGTACAGGCCTGGTTGGCAAGAGGGCACAGATAGAGTGGGCAGGTCGGGGCGCAGGGCACCTGGTGTGTCCACTGTCTGCGGAAAGAAGGCAGAATGTGTAAATGTAGATGAAGGTTGGTTGCTACCCTGCTCTTGGGAAGTACAGGTAATTCTCTTTGACGGTTTCTATTTTTTTAGTGAGGTTATCAATTGAGAATGAGCAGGAGCGGGAGGGAGGAATGTTGGAGATCTGGGAAGATTGGAAAAAGAGTGGAATAGTCCTCTTGGAGGCCAAGACAGTCCACTAATTAGGGGATTGTGGTCAATTTCTGGGCAGTTTTCAGTGTCACTGGGGATTTTTTTTTTTTTTTAAGATCTTATTTTTTATTTATTTGACAGAGACACAGCGAGAGAGGGAACACAAGCAGGGGGAGTGGGAGAGGGAGAAGCAGACTTCCCACTGAGCAGGGAGCC